ATCCGGGCTTCTTCTCCTTTTCGTCTTGGACTCTAAGCTTGACTTCTAGGTCTTCTACCAAGCTTCTAATGTCTTCATTAAGGTGTGGATCACCTTCTCCATTTGTCCATCTTGGTCCAAGTCCGACATGCATCCTATTGAACTATATCAAAAATACTAGCAAACAATTTTAGTTCAACCTGGCCTTGTTGATCATCAAACACCAAAATCCAAACTAAATAGGCAAGGGTCCATTTTCCTTACAGTCCATCCGTGCATGCTTGGCTTCCGGCACAGATTCCTCCTCCGTCCGTGTGTGCTTGGTAGAAGGCTCGGTCATTGCGGTTGCTAAGAGTACATGCAGATGCAGTTCGGCCATTATTGTTGATTCATAACAGCATATATGAAACTAGACTAGGATGGCACACCGAATTAACTCAAACCAGTTAAATAAGTTTTCCAATCTTTGCGAGTGTTAAAGTAATATTTTCCTTAAAAATATGTGGATGAGGCTTTGTTTTAAGACTTTATTAAAAGGAAAAAGAGATCAATTAGATGTTGAGTTAGAATGCTGTTGTTTAGTAATATTAGCTTATCGGAAAGTGATAATTAGACACATTCTTGCTATTTTGTTTTCTACATAACCTTTTTATTAAGTTGTATGCACCGACCATTTCAACCCAAAAGCTTAAGCTGATGGGGAGAGATGGGCAATTCACTTATACTCCAACACTTTTTACTCAGACCTATTACTATTTCTACAAATCCTTTGAATCCTAAGTGTTCAAGTTTTGAAAAATTCACATTGTAATTTAAGTTGTTAATCTAAAATGTCATTGCAATTTGATAGGTTAGTCTTCCACTAAAATATTCAATTGTGTGGTGTTTATTTGAGGTTATGAAGTGGCTTACTTGTGATTTTTAATATATTGCTGATGAATCCAATTTAGGACTGGTGGAACAAGTACTAAAGAGTGAGATTTCTGAGAAAGATGCAAAGAAACAAGTATGCTACTCCGTTTTTGGTATCTCTGTAGTCTGAATTCCTGAAAGTGGTCAAATACAAATAGTTAAATTAGTTTATACAGTAATTTGTCATTTTGTTGTTCTTATTTCCCCCAGTGTTGGTCACTTCAAATCTTTATTTTTCATCTGGATTGCATGTTATATTGTGTGCCAAATCTTTATAGTTTAAGGTATTTTTGTTGTTATCTTTTTATAACTGCACTATCATGTTCCTGAGAAATATCCATTATCTGTTCCAATTTTCTTTGGTGTTCTCTATCCAATGATCATTTCCTAATAACATTTCTTGTGTTAGCTATTTTCAGGTGTTAGACTTTATTAGGGGGTATGTAGGTTCAGCTACTCCATTGATAGCTGGGAACTCTGTCTATATGGATTTATTATTTTTTAAGGTTAGTAAGATAAACAATTGATTATGTTCCCGTTGAATTTGAAATGGTGTCATATGATTTTATCTGAGCCATTACAGTTTAGGGGCATGCATAAGCTTGGATTTTTACTCTGCATTTGGCAAGCCTATGTTAATTGTTCTGGACTTCTGGTGATATCTGGCAAGCGTAGAGTCAACGCAACATAGTGTTTCTGGTGATATCTGGACTTACATTTGGCAAGCCTAGAGTCAAACAACATAGTATTTCTGGTTTGATGTAGTTTTATTGGCAAGGATCAAGGAAATGATAATTGTGCAAGATAAAAACTAGAAAAAACTAGACATATGCTGAAGACTTGAGTTAATCTTAGGCTGTGTCTGTTTTTTCTTCTTTATTGTGATTTGACATCTATTAGACATCATAAACACAGTTACTATTCAACTCTAAGTCCAGCACAACTTTTCACTTTGTTAACTCAAAGTTATTTTATTTTCTACATTTGACATACATGTAATTTTGTTTACATGCATATTGCTTATTATGAACTACTCCCTCCGTTCCATATTATAAGACGTTTTGGCCTTTTCAGATACATTTTATCATGTATCTAGACATAGTAAAAGCCAAAATGCTGAAACGTAACATCTAAGTGCATAGCAAAAGTTACGTATCTAGTAAAGCCAAAATGTCTTATAATTTCGAATGGAGGGAGTAGAACTCTAGAAGGCAATTCAATTGAGATGGTTGTCTAGAAAAGTCTGTTAAACAAAGGTGGTTTCTATCAAGATAGTGAAAATGGTCCAATATAAGTCCCAAACTTTGGGTCTGATGGCCATCTCACCACAACCCAATAGCAACAGGTTCTCCAGCTGGTACTGCCAATCAGTCAAGTTTGTGCCCGAGGAAATTAGGAAAGGTTTCAATTCTCTCATCATTCTAGTGGCCTGGGAAATTTGGAAACTCTGGAATACATGTGTCTTCGATAGTGCGAGGCCAAATCAGGTGTTACAGGCCATTGCAAATGAATGCATTTTGTGGTGTTTAGCTGGAGCTAAAGATCTTCACTTCTTCAGGGGTTGATCGTTAGGTCATGGATTTGGGGCAGCTGACTTTTGCCCTCTGGTAGTTCTGGTCATGTTTATCTTTCAGAAAGGGTGAGAGGTCTAGTGTTCAGTACGTAGACAGTGGAGTGTGCTGTGAGTTCATGGGTGTGTGTGAGTTTTGTTTGGGGACTTATCCCCCCATGTACTCTCTCTTTTTCTTTAATGAAATCATGCGTAGGAGAAAGCTCTCCTACGTGTCTGAGAAAAAAATGGTCTAACTATTTTTCTTTCTGAGAAGCAATCCTGAAATATGTGGCACACTGCCTGTCCTGTTATCTATATTTCACTATGATGTATAGTTATTCAAGAAAGCAGATAGTTTCCCACTAGTAGCTTATACATTAGTCAGTTCCTTACTATTAGTGAATCAACATATGCTTGCTTGAGTGCATAGGATTATTAGGATCAGTAGTAGCATTTCTCTTTTTTCTTCGAAGTATATGCCACAACTTGCATGCATATTCTCTCATGTGATAGTTGATGTGAGCAGTATGACAGCTTTGGGCATCCGGTGGTTCCCAAAAGGTATTCTCCTTACTAGTCCAGCGTCACGGAGGTCTAGTCATCATATCCTTCTATTGTTATAAATACTATCCACCTGAGTGGTTTGCTCATTTGGGTTATGTTTGATCTTTTCCTGGGGTGGGGGTGGGGGGTGGGGTGTTGCGCATGATTGTCATTGGATCCTTTCTCTAGTATCATTCTATGTAATTTAATAAAATCACCTTTTCTCATTTGTTTTAAGGAATACATGGTTGGTACTGGCTAGTCTATGTGCCAACATTTTAAATGCTTAGTGTTAAGTTGAAACTCATTTTGGAGTATAGGTGGATTTTTAATTACAACATTGTCAAAGCGGTGGATTATATATGATTTAGTTTTAGTTGGAATGTACTCGCTGTTGCAGGGCAATGCTTAAATTGGGATGGTAGACTGGACCAAAAAATTTGTTTTTCATTTTAGAAGTATCGATGAGTTGAACTGTATTTTCATTATTTTACTTGCCTAGGGCATGTAGTCGTTGACTATTATACAGAAACACAAAATTCCACACGACATGACCTTGCTTGTGTTTGGCTGGGTACAGAAAGCAAAGAAGCTCCAAAAAAGGAGAAAAATCATAGGGCGATGGACGATATTAGAGAAAGCATCAAGGAGCTGCAATATTACAAGGAAATCATTTTTAAATCACGGAGATCTAAGTAGCAGACTGTGGTGGTCTAAGGGCATACCCAACAATGTTTTCTAGCTAGCTATTTGACGACGTGGCGGAGCTGCTAGCGATGAGTTAGTCCCCCAGCTCGCACGATTACCCATGGATAGTGTCTCTGACCATATGGCCCACACCAGTATGCTGCACGCTAGGAACTTTTTTTCATTTTTTTATGTCTACTTGCTTGACGATTCCTTTCTCCTCGTTGAGGACACTAAGTAACAGACTCTCTGATGGTGGATGTTGTATCGCACTGGGTGGTTGGCCTAAGGTTAGAGTTGGGAGTTGGGAAAGTGCTCTAGAATTTCGGGCGATTGAACTAATCATCTTCTCAATCCCCTACAATTCCAATGGGGAAGGTTTTGTACGAACAACCCTGTGCTTGCTGATACTGGTGGATCAACAGCTGACATTCGCTATAGAGCATGAGCCCATGACAGTCAGCAGCGGGATGGTCAGTCCACTGAATCAATTGGAATGTGTTCAGTGCGATGCCTATTGAATCCAAAGCTTGTCTTGCTAGGATACAATTTAGACTACATTGGAGCATAGTTTATCCAAAATGATGGAAAGCTATGAACTTGTGTCTCTAATTTGTTTATAGACCTGAAGCCCTGAAACTGCCCATATCATTGGCAGCCAATTTAGCCATCTCGACTTTTGATGATTCAAACGGAACCTTAGTGTGGTTCGTTTGCGTACAATGCTTTGATATGTAACGAATGGCGAAATACAAGAACAACCAGAACAAGGATTTGGTGTGGCAGAATTTAATAATTTTAGAATTAGCTATGGCTTCTGGAACGTTTGGAATACAACAGCATCACCAACAACTAAATCAACACTGCAGACTACGTAAAATCATGTTCAAGTCAATGTGACTTTTTCGCCAAGATATTTTGTTAATTCTTTGCACTTTTGCAAACTATGTCTGAGATCAATCGAAGTCATCATCACAGTTTACACAAGACCAGGAGCAGCAACAGCTATGTAGCTGACCTCGAATTTTCATCAATAGGAATTACACTCCTAATGATTCATAATTCACATATTTATTCAAGATTATTCCGTCAACCTTGAATCTTCAATTGAATTTTAGCTAGGAAATAATGTAAATATAATGACCAGGAAGCACTTAGTTTTGACACTGAAAAGTGAGAACTAAATGTGAATGATTCCAGTATGGTGATTATCTCAATAGTTGGAAAGAAAATTCTTTCACTGTTGCTCTACTCGTATAGTTATTATTTGCAGGGAAGGTACATGACACACGATTCCATGATACAAGAAGATGTTCATCATAAAGATTTATGATACTCTTGCACCCTGAAGCGATTTGCAGAAAATTAGGCCAGCAGAGGTACGCATTTGTTTATCACCAAGAACCACAAATGCAGTTATCTGTTGTTCTAAGATGAGGCTGAACAGCTTCCCAGATCTTCTTCTTTTGGACCTGACAAAAGTGGAATGATGCATTGCCTGCATTGCTCCGAAACAACTTCAGCAGCATGACTAAGATTCCTACGTTTTTAGTATAATATAAGGCCCCTACGTTTGTTTAGTATAAATTGGCTCAGTAAATTTCAATTCATACGTATTACTTACATTGTTTTTTATTTAGAGGAATTAACAAGGTTTTCAAATTCAAGCTTGTTTCACATCCACACTTCCACAGGACTAGTTCTTTCACCACATTTTGTTTTACCTTAGAAAGCACCAAATTGCAGTGTAAGTTGCTAGAAATACTAGAAGATATATCTATTTATTTCTGTTATTTGTGTCCACTAGATTTCTTCCTTAAGAGTTATGACCAATACCAAGTCGAAAATAGACTCTTTAACTATGGATTTTCCAATTGAACTTGCAAAATGATGTAACCATATGTGTTCTACAATCTATATGGCATGCTTCTATCTAAATAGCATACTAACATCAGAGCTTAAAAGATGTAGTTGCTATCAAAATATGGTCCATATGAAATGATCTTTTCTCAGACATCAGATCTGGTCTATCTACAATACTAAATTGAAATGTACAATGGCCCATGCAAATGTCAAAGATACTTAATTAAGTTCATTTATGAAACACAAGAAAATTATTTAGCATGGTAACATAAAATCAAGAACATCAAATGACATCTCATTTTTATTTTGATGATGCTGAAAAATGTTTCTAGAGTTCTAGGTCATGCTTATCTGGAAGTCCAATGACATGATATATCTGCTGGATGAGTGGTCACCTACACCTTCCATTCAATAAGGTGTAGAAACAATAGCAAATCATTGCAGAGGCTAAGAAACGCAAGCAATAGTAAGCATTACTTGCACATAAGTCAACACTCAACACCCAACCAGTTGTTAACAAATCATTCAAAAGATAGGAAAAATGTCTTAAATCTGTATTATTATGTGATACCTGATTTGGTGATGCAGGGTCAGATTGACGATGCATTTCTTCTTCTGAACCAAACCATACTCTTTCACCAGGAAAGGAACCTTCTGGAGGGATGAGCAGCTCCACATTCTCATGGGAAGCATCAGAGGCAGCCATGAGCATGCCATTTGACTTGATGCCACGCATGTTCCTTGGTTTGAGGTTAGCAAGAACAATCACGTTGCTGTCCTGCACAGGTCACCAGAATCAAGAATGAAGTAATGGATGTAAGTTACAACATGGATACAATCCACATGATTCGACAGAAAATTGGCTATCAGGCCCACATTTCATAGACTCAGACAGACCCACAATTATATCCACGATGATGATTCGATACACTCTATTTGTTAAGACAATTTGGTCCCCAATTTCTCTAACTGTTGATCATATATGTCCAGAATCAGTGTGAATTGGTTATACTCAAGTTCAAATCCAGAGTGAGCCATGATCCATGAGGATTTTTTACGCTAACCTTACATTGTCCTTCTCTCTGGAGTTTATTTGCAGCATATAAAAATCAAACTAGATACACTGGAAATGTCATAAATCATAACTGATAGAGGTGACAGGTGTTTGTCCCTTTTAATTGATATATTTGTCCCTTTTAATTGATATATGCAAGCCTTACCCTCGCCTATGCAGGAGACCGCGACCCTTCGTATGTACTCTAACAAAACGTAACTAAACTGGATTCTAACATGAATTTTTGTACGCTTATTACTAATCGATAAATAATGGATACCGTGACTCTCTACCACCGGACGCAATTTATCTTGTGCACACCTGGAGCTCTTCGATGGGGAGGAAGTTGACAAGGCCGCTGCAGATGGTCCGGGGCTCCGCCTCGCCTACGTCCACCTCCTCAACGTAGAGCGTGTCCGCCTCCGGGTGCCTCCACGCCTTCACCACCCGGCCCACCCGGACGTCCAGCAGCCCCACTAGCTCCTCCACGGTCGGTTCCGCCTTCTCGTTCCCGCCCGACACCGGGTGCTTCGTCTCATCCACCGCATCCTGCGGGGGCGGTGGTGCTAGGGAGACCTCCGTTAGCGATAGCGACGTCGGTGATAAAGAGCAGAAGAGAGCAAGATTCCTGCCGGATCTCGGCGCCGTCGCCGGCGACGGTCGGGCAGCCAGGAACGAGACGGCGCCGGCGCGGGGCCTCGCGAGGGTGAGCAGAGAGGATGAGGACGGGAGGAGGCAGGCGCAAGAGGCGAACGCCATTCTCGCAGCGGCCATCATACTGGTGCCGGAGATAGGGATAGGGCTGGTGCGGCTGCGGTGGAACCGTCCGTCGCCGTTTCCACCGCAGAAGAGCGCAGCGGAAGCAGCTAATCTATTATTATATATACTAGTCCATCGCGATTATCATATACAGATATACAATTTGTTTGGCAAATATTTTATTTCTCTGTGACCACCGGTGACTAAATAAATTCAGTTTAGTATGTTCAGAGAAAATACTGATAAAATGACTAAGCTAATATATAGATGCATGTAACCTGAAGATCCAAATGGGCAAAAAAGGAGGAGCGCAATGCTGGTATCATTGAGAATCGACATATTAAATATGTAAGAAACCAGAAAGGCAAATGTAATCAGGAAATGACATCTGCGGAAAAACTTGAACAAACTGCACAAATCAAAGAATTAATTAAACTGAGAGGTGAGAAATACACTGCCTATACATAGGTAACCGGATTGTGTAAGAAGAGACGACAAAGCTACAAGAATCTAAATTACCATTATATCAATACTGTAAGCAACCTTTCATAAAAGAGATCAACAAGAAGAACAGGTAACATGAAAAATAGCAGCATTTATATAACCAAGACAGTAAATATTGCTAACAAAATATTTCTTTTCAAACTAGCATTTGAGTTTCAGAATTTCTGAAAGCGCTATGGTGCCAAACTCAAAGGCATTACCATTTCAATAATCAACAACTCAACTAAGACACTATATGGAGTAAGTAATGGGAAAATAAGCTGAGTAAAGAGGCACACAAGAAATTGTATGATAGAAAACAACTCAAGACTACAGACTATATCCACATTCAGTGGAAAAGCAACTCAAGTATACAGACTGTAGAAACAGTCACTTAAAAAGCTGTGCTATCAAGGATGCTAACCCAATTGTAACTGCAAAGATTGTCAATGTTGTTGCTCTTGCCAGATGCAGCAACGATTCCCAAACCTGAAATGTAAGCGACGAAGTTCATGAATGATTTGCCATAGCAGGTTAAAGGCTCTGTCGATATTCCTTGAAATCATGGATACAGCAAGTAAGAAACTTAATACACCTAGGAATATAAGAAAGAAAAAATATGGACCGCAATGTGATACAAACAGCACATCCTGTTCGCACCATCTCTATGTGCAACTGCATTGCCATTGACTACTGTCAGGCTCTCGAAAAACTAAGAGCAGCAAAAACTAAAAACATAGATGAAATTACTCTTCAGAAGAATTATTACATAATAAATCAGCAAATGGCTCACCTCCATGGTCATAACCCATTTTGATCAATTGGTTCCGTTCCGTACATGCCATAGTCAGCCCTCTATAAACAGATTTCGAACTGCTGAATTAATTTAGGAAATGAGAAAAGAAAACACAATACAACTGGAGAGAAGAGAACACTGCAGGGTATTGGCACTCGGCCTGACCAGGACCTGTGCCGCCGCGGTTGGCTCGAAGCATGCCTCCCAGGGATCAACACGGAGAAGGCAAACAGTGGAGCAGCAAGCACCGGAGCGCAAACCCTAGAACAGAAAATCCAACTTAATGTGGGGAGAAATCAGATGGCAAAAACAAAAAAAGAGGAAACGGGAGTACCTGAAAGACGGTGCGGAGGCCGGTGATTACAGTCGTCCACCGCAGGGATATGAGAGAAGAAAAGATGAAGATGGAATAGCAAATCTAGATCGAGATCAAGATGGAGGAGGGATGAACCTGAGTGTCAGTACGGCGGCGAACCCTATGGTTGTCGGAGCTGGCGCCACATTGGGAGAGAGATATGGGCTAAGGGAGGGATAGCGGTTGTCGGGCAGCGCCAGGAACTACCACCGGCGCGCCACCTCGCCGGAGCGCCCGTGGGTCGTGGGGCTCGGGGTCGGGAGAAGATGATAAGGCTCTGGAGGATGTGGAGTATGAGGGAGAGAAGATATTTCGGTGGAGGAAGCCTGAACCTTTGATCTCTGAATCGGACGGCTGAGGCATTTGGAGGTGACGTGGATAGCCTGAGAGGCGGCCAAAGCAAACTGCTTAGATAAGAGTAGATTATATATCATATACCTCAAAAGTCCTTACAGATATCGTCAGTGTCATCCCGCCTCACGGCAAAAAAAAACCCGAACAAAAACAAATACGGCAAAAAAAAGGTACGGCAAAAAAAACACCGGTAAAAAAAGGTTTTAGAAACAAACTCTTCCATATCCCAGGACGTTTAAGAAATAAACTCTTACACATCCCCATTTCAAAAAAATACCGTTTCCAAAAATCCGGGGAAAAAATCAAATACGGCAAAAAAAAAAGATACAGCAAAAAAGAGGCAAAAAATGTTTCAGAAAAAAAAACTCTTCCACATCCCCGTTTCAGAAACAAACTCTTCCACATCCCCGTTTAAAAAAAATACCATTTCCAAACAAACAAATACAACAAAAAAACATTTGCGAAAAAACATATACGGCAATTTAGAAACAAACTCATCCGGATCGAAAATCATATACAGCAAAAAAAACCGTTTCCGAAACAAAATGATTGATTACAGGCCGATGAAACAAATCATCGAGTTTGGCTCTGAAAAAAACTTGGTCTCTCGACCGACTACAGCGTCGAGTCCAATCAGCACCCGCGTTGCCTGTGCTTAATAAATCTACGGGTGTTTTCATAATGTTCTGAAGGATGTAGTTGATGAATGGGCACGTTACTAGATGCCTCGTCGTTCGGCACACATTGGCCCGCATAAGGTCACATGCCTCCGTGGCGGTGGCCGAAGACGGCGAAGACGAGGAGGAGTTGACCCGAAACGCCTTCGAAGACAAGAAGGTCGTAGGCGGAGACGTCGTTGACGACGGTGAAAAGGATGAAGAGGAGGTGCAGCATATGTACTCATAACTATCAGCAAAGTTGACGTTGTAGAATGTGACGCCGACGAGGGCAAGCAAGATGCGAGGACCGGTGTGGCAACGGTGATGGAGATCATCCATGACAATGGACTGCCCTTTGTGGAGCTTCATGGCCGCGAGGAGTGTGTACGCAAACGCAAACAACGAGAAAAAAAAAAACAAATCCTCGCGGACGGACACTCCAACATGAAAAAAGGACAAAGATGTACAGAGCAGATAGAAAGATAACATGGTTCTATATATAAAAATGAAATTTAGAAATAGTTTAGGATGGCCAATATAAATTTGTGTATTAGTTTTTTAATATTTTATGAAAATAATGAAATTTGTCATGGTACATGGGCATGAGTAAAAATATGGTCCCCATGCAACGCACGGGCATATATCCAGTGGAAAGATAAATAAAAAAATAAATTCTGAATTTTATTTTTATTATTAACCTTACAAAGCATAATAGCTTCTCGGACATAAGCACCGGCCACGTCGCCTTGAATCCTAGTCATCCGATCTTCGGTTCAATGGCCCAGATCGCTTGGATTGGATTTCCCCCGGAGCAGCTTCTCCTACTTCTCCTGACCTTGTCCAGCTTCTCCTCGGCCTTTCCTTTGGCTTCTTCGGCTTCTCGTCAGAATCTAGAGCAACAAATATATATCGGCTTCTGCTTCTCCTTCCAGACGACCTTCCCGATCCTTGTCCTTCCGACCCTGATGCCTCTCGTCCCACAGGTGTCGCCTCCACCGCGTACGCCCCCCGCCTTCCCCTATCTCGCTCTCCCTCTCTCTCCCTACTTGGCAACGTGCCGGCCCAGCCTCAGCGTCGCCGGATGGCCGCGCGAGGCACTGGCAGGGCAATGGCGGCCCCCTGGCTATGCCACAGCGTCGCGTGTCATCCCCGGCGGCGTCCGTCCCCGGCTATGGCGCGTCGCGAGCGGTCCTCGCCGTTGGCCGCCGGCGAAGGTGCCCCCGGTGCATCCTCCTCCCGCTGTTCCGCGTGTGCTCATGTGTGCTCTAGGAAACCCTAGGTGACTCTCCGTCTCCCGATGTACTGCTGTCTCTCTCTACCCGTAATACTAGGTAATAAGTACTAAGAAAATATTGTGGTATCTTCGTCTTGTTTGATTAATGGATTTAAGTAACGCGTATGAATAAATATCTTTTCAACGATTATCCTTCTTCAACATCTAGGCTCCCCCAGGGGAAAGGGATATATGGGCTCCTTTTTAGGAATGTAAAATCATTTACCGGTTTGGTTTTGCCTGGCCCAAATTATTTGTGATGTTATGATCTCAAATCCAATACTGAAATTTGTATCTCTTTTCTGATGATAATTGATGGTTTATAGGGTCTAACTCATGCCTATGTTCTCCAGCTCTTTGCAGGAAGGAAATATGATATGGAGTTCAAATCGAAAATTAAATCAGGTGTCAACTTCAGTGGTGCACATGATATGGTTCAGATCTATCTGTAGCGGGATGATTAGTGTATCACTGAGTTGTGGGTTCACATCATCTTTTTATTAGTGAGTTGTAGGTTCACATCATCTTTTTATTTTTGTGGTGACAACAATTTTTAAACTGTTCTTGCCATGTTAGTGCTCCAAATTTGTTTGCTAAGTTTGCATTTTGGGCCCATCTTTTGGTGCTTCAGTTTGTCACATAATGCATTATTGTTGGTTTCCGTTTTCAGAAAACTCATTATTGTAATGAGGTGCCTAAGTCATTGTTATACTTTTATTCACAAAACTCATGCTTAACCCGTTGTCTCATTGTCTGCCAACCATACCCATAGATTTGATTGTTAATAATGTCCGAAAAGAAGACCATTCTGCTTGCTCGAGTGTCATGTATATCCCAAAATGCTTGAAGGTTTAATATTATGCCAAATATTTTAGCAAGGTTTGAACTACAATCCTAGAACAATATATGCAGTCATGATTATCGCTCTTTTATCACTACTACAGATTGATATACCACTGTCGCCACTTTCACTGCCATAGCGATAGAAGAGACAGTGTTGTACTTCCACTGTCGGTTGGACCGATAGCGAGGGCTCCTAAGGAAGGAAACCAGTAGTTAAAACTTCTACCATCCACGGATTAACAATAGATGCAGCAG